AGCGCAGCCCCAGCAGCCGTGCTCGCATGCTTGGCCCTGCGGCATCCCATGGATCATCATCACGTTACATGGGCGACAGGTCCCTCGACGCGGACAGCGACCAGTCCCTCCGAGGCGACCTGGGGCTCGCCGCTGAGTCCGACGGCAGCGTTGGCTTCGCGGAGAACAAAGGCAAACGACAGTTGCGGTCCGCAGATTCTCTAGTACTTACTGCGGTGGACACACTTGGGCGCGTCGGCTGCGCCGACAGACCCGCGCATCGAGATTGTTCCCAGAAAGCGTTGGGAGAAGGTGCAATGGGGTATCGACATCCTGGCAACAACTCCAGGGTCGGCCTTTGCTCGAGCAAGGCTGGCCTGCGTTTACATCGAACCTCTTTGGATATGGGCAAGCCCCGCGGTGGCCCCGCCGCCGCTGGATCCAGCCAGGAAGCTGGCCAGAGCCATCTGGCGAAGCAACAGCGATTGATGGTGCCTGGGTAGATGGTGTTGCCAGTACATCTTGCTTCGTCCTACATGCGGCGCTGCCGCGATCGCAATCGAAACCGTCGCCGACGAAATGTTTGCCTGGAGCTCGTTCCTAGACGCGTCGATGACCGCGCGCGCCGAGGTCCTTGGACTTCGTTTTATCCGATTCTCAGCGAATCGTGGTTGCCAGGTAGAGGCGGCCCCAATGCCCGGACATCGAGTGCGGGCTGCCGTGGAACCTATGGTGGATGACCTCTGGTTGTTTTGGACTCGAGGTACCCCAGCGTGCAACTAGAGCGTTCAGCATGCCCTTCGGTTGCTGGCCCGTATCACGCGCTTGCAGACGGTGCCCTTTCGCCGTCAAGATTGAGAAGACATAGGGGAGGTCGACATTGATGCGTGCCCCCCCGCATGCTTTGTTCGTTGGAGCCGAGCCTTATAGTCTCAACAGCGTCTGGCATTGTCTATCTTCCGGTCGGGTGCAGCGACGACGGAGACAGGGCGACAGACAGGCAAGAACTGCCGATTCCGCGGAGCACTGTGGCCAATGGTGAGACATGTGGTCACGGAGTGCACAGGCTACGCGCGGTTTCGCACGCACCTGAATGCTCATTACAGCCTGCCCGGCGGTTTCTGGACAATGCCCCTTCGGTGCTCGTCCAAGCAAGGTTGGATTACTTACGCCGCCTCCGACTGCGCGTTCGCGTGTGCACGTGCGTCGTTGGTTTTATGCGCGATGGGAGTGCGTATCGCATGCCAAAATCCGGAAGACCGACTGGTGGGTGCTGGGCCCATGCGACCTGATCGCGAGGGCTGCCGTCCTGCCAGAGCTTAACCTACTACAAGTGCGTCCACTGTTGGGGTGCAGCACATCATCGCCCCCCCCCCCAATTCACGACGCGATGAAGAACAATTGGTTGCTGCCCACCGCGCACATCAAGCACTCGCGGTTCTAGTGCGCAGCGGCAGGTAAGCGTATTTTTGGAACGACGTGGCTCTCGCGTGCATCATGGAGAATTCCCCGAGCTCGTTGCCGAGTCTCCAGGGGCCCACGCCGAGTCATCTTGCTCCCGTTCTATTCTCCCAGAGCACGATGGGCTCCAACAGTGGCTGGCTCGCGCAAGGAGAGGCACCGCAGGGTCCCCTGTTCTTTTTGTTCAAGCAGATCGTCGTTCAGGCAGGGGCCTCCGAGTCAGATGTTCGCTTCGAATTTGCGCGCTGGCTTGCCGACGTCGCTGGCGCAGAACCATGCTATCAGTCGTTTTGGTCTGGGTCTGACAAGTGTGCATTGAATTTTGTTCCTGCGGGTCCTCCCGGATTTGCAATGCGCCCGTTTCCGTTGCTTGCCTCAGCCTCAACGCAATGCTTCCACTATCCTCGAGCGCGCGGCCCCGAAGGCCGAGCCAGACCGTCGGCTGCGCGAGCAGCCGCGTGATCTGGTGCCCCGCAGGCGTCGGTGGATCGAAGCTGATGCGAAGGGGCTCGTCTCACGTCTGGGGCTTCGGTTCGGGTTTGGACGCGCGGGGCGCGCAGGGCTTCGATATCCGACGCCGCCCCCCTCACTCCGAGCGAGGCTCGGCTCTGCCTGTCCTTCTGCTGGAGGAGGTGGGGCTAGGGGCTCGTCAGTGGAGGCGGAGGAGGTCACGGCCAAGAAGTGGGTGAGGCCTGGGCGGCCCCATCTCGCGAGGGACGACCCCCTCTGGCGTTCTCTTCGGCCCGACCCGCTCCCTGAGCGAGTCTCGCCTCGGGTCAATGGGAAAGCAGCCCATCCCTCTCGCGTTCTGTGGCAGACAGGTGCTTGCACCTTGTGCGGTGAATGTGGCTCCTGGGCAATAGCTCGCCCAGTCTCTCTGCGGGGGCCTCGCCCCGCGGCCGCGCTGGGGCCGCATGAGTTCACCAGGCGCCAGCGCGAGGTCCTGCACCGGGTTTGTAGAGGCCCCTTGTCCTCTGAGACCTCCAGGCGCTGGTTGCCTTAATCTTTTAATCCCTGCCAGGCGCCCCCTGCATTGCTTGCGCTCTGGAGTTTGGTCGGCAGCGGCGCGCTGTAAAACAGTCCCTCACGGGCCCCCTTGGCCTTCCTGAGCCCCGTCGACTTCGTGGAGCTCCTGGCCGCAAAGTCCGAGGCGAAAGTCGTTGAGGAATACTTGCAGAACCGCTGGTCGGCGTCTGGCCTCCAGACGCACAGCGTCGCGACAGGGTGCGACCTGGCGGCGTTGCGCCTGGCCCTCATGACCCAGTGCCTCGAGGCCGACTGCCTGTCCGCGCTGCAGGCCACGGACCCCGAGGAGCGCGACATCCCCGCGGGGGGGCCGGCGCTGACAGGGCTCCGCCAGCAGTTCGAGGGCGCGCCCGCCTGGGTCAGGGAGAAGCCCCGCGGGGCCGGCCCTCCTGGTCTGCTACGCCCCCGCCCTGCTGTGAAGGGCGGGGCTGCGCGCCGGGCCATGGAGGCGCCGCTCGTCTTGGCAGTGGTGCGCCAGGCAGTCCAGAGGCTCTGCCCGATGGGCGTCACGCAGCAGACGGTGGGGAGCACGGTGACCGTCTGCATCGACGCGCTGAAGGTCTTCACCCTGGAGGGGGTCTTGTCCAATGAGCTCTGGCACCTGCGCGAGAGCTCGGACATTCTTATCGAGGCAGTGCGCAGTCCCGCTGACGATGCGGCATCTGTCAGATCCACCGCCACCGAGACAACCGCAGCGGCCAGCAGCCAAAGCTTCCCCAGCAAGCGTCGGCCGTCCATTGGGTCCCCGATCAGATGCGCCCCGGTCAGTCTTCAGATGTTGCGGAATCCGAGGATTGGGCCATCGAATTAGGCGGCTGAGCCAATGCCCTCATCAACGTGACGATGTACCGTCAAGCTCTCGGCTAGCGTGTCGAGATTGACAACATGCTGTGAGGCAGGGGTGTGTGGTGGTTGGTCGATCAGTTTTCCCCTCCAGCTCCCCCTCCTCCTGAGCTTCTTGGCTTCTTATATCCCCTCCATCTCTTCCTACTCATCGGCTTTCTGGCACGCCTCGTGCCGCACGTGCCGCCGTGATTCGCCTATGAGAAGCGACGCTCCGCACATGTATTCGACGTGCTCGGGACGTTTTTGCGCTGGTGTGCTGCCGCTCCGCTGAGGGCAGTGTGTGTTTCACCCGGATGTATATATATATATATATATATATATATATATATATATATATATCCATAGACACACACATATCTATAAACACATGATATCGAGTCATTCAAGTAAATCGGTTAGAACCTTGGCGGGTTTGCGTGGACCCCCAGTTCCCCGAGCTCCCCAGGGGGCCCGAAAAAGGGCACCCGAAGGCCCCCCGCGAGCCCCCAAAGAGCGCCAGAACTCTTCTCGAAGAGCCCCCACGCGGCCCATGGGGCCCCCAGACTATCCAAGGCGGCCCTCGGGCGGCCCAGGCTGCCCCCTCTGACGGCCACCACGGCTCCAAGAGGGCCCCATGGGACCGCAGAGAAGGCCCCAGCAGACCCCCGAGAGCGACCCATCCAGCAAAAAACACCACATTCCATGCGGAAAACTGACGATGTCAGCAACATTTGCCTTTTGGGTCGTCCCGCGACAGCCCCGGAGGCTTCCAAAATCGTCCCACGACCATCCAAAAACCTCCCAAGAAGGCCCGCTGATGGCTCATGACGACCCCAGGACGGTCCACGAGGCTAGGCTCCCAAGACGGCCCAAGAGGACCCTAGGAGGGGCCGCGGTGGGGCCCAATACGGCCCAATATGGACCCAAGACAGCCCAAGAGGCGTCCAAAATGGCCCACGACGGCGCCAAAACGGCCCGACAAGCGTCCTACAAGGCCCCAGAGGGCCTTTGGAGCTCCCCCAGGAGTTTCAAAAGGGTTTCCTACGAAGTCGCCCGCGGCAAGGAAACGCCATTCGAACAATATCGCGAGATCTACGGTGGTCGCTCACTGCGTCGCACACCCCAGAACACACTGCCACACACGTATCCCTTCAACTCCGTGGATTTAATCCACGCGCCACACTAGTATGTATGTATGTATATATGCATACATACATATATACATACATACATACATACATACATACATACATACATACATACATACATACATACATACATACATATATACATACATACATACATACATACATACATATATACACACATACATACATACATACACACACACATACATACATACATACATACATACATACATACATACATCCATACACACATACATACATACATACATACATACATACATACATGCATACATACATACATACATACATAGATACATGCATGCATGCATGCATGCATGCATGCATACATACATGCATGCACATATGCCTATACCTATACATATACATACACATACACATACATATATACACATACACATACACATACACATATACATATACATCTACGTATGATGCTGGATCGGTGGCGCTCACGCTACGAAATGAGGGCCTGCCTTGCAGCTCCGCTGGGGGACGCACTTGGGTGGAGAGTAGGGAGTGGACAGAGGGGCAGCTGTGCAGGTGGCCGTCTGACAGAGTTCCCTGTCGCTGCTGAGCGTGCAGGCGCTCTCTGGTGGTGCTCGCGGCCGTGGCTGTCCCAACAAGCGGTGGCCGGCTGGAGCGTGAGGGGCGCGGGAGCGCCTGCATTCGATCAGACCGGCCACGACCAGAGACCTTTTTCTCGGCACGATCGGAATTGGTTGGGAAAGAATGGGGACGAAAATTGACAGCAGTTCCTACTCATTTCGGGCAGTGCTCGCTGTCGGTGTCGTCGCGGGCTTCGCACATTTGAGGCAGGGGGCCGCTTGCCCAACAGCGGCCTCTGTTGGTTTTGTACAACATTTCTTGTTCGTCATCGTACCCAATTTTTCCATACCCATTTCAGGTCGTCCTCCTGTTTGGGCCTTGCTTTTCGGGGAGGGGGGCCTCGTAGCTACGGGCGGATTCGCCTCGGAATCCTGGCCGGAACGCGCTCCAGGATGGGCCCGGGGGTTTGGATATTGGAGCGGGGGAGCCCCAAATCTCCAGGCATCGCGACAAGAGAAGTTGTCTTTTGTTCGGGCCCCAGAGCACTGACGACCCGCGACGAGAAACCGTTACCAGAAATGGTGTCGAGAAGTTCGGGGGCCCTTGGTATTGGAAGACGTGAGCCCAGCGCAGCCGCCAATTACGGGTCTGCTTTCTTCCTCAAGAGAAGTAAGAGCAGTTCTGAGCAATGCAGACCAATTCTAGACGCTCCGCGTAACCCCACCAGCCTATCCAGAGACGATGCCCAGAGGACTTGCCTCGATCAGGGAAGTGGACAGCACACAGATGAAGGGTCCCTCGTGGAGCGCTCGTGGGCCACTCTTGGGCGCTCTTGGGGCCGTTTTGGGGCTCTCTTGGGCCTCTCTTGCGTCTTGGGAGCCTCTTGGCAGTCCCGGGGGCCTCTTGGAGCGTCTCGGGAAGATTCTTCTGGCCTGTTGGGGGTCTCGTGGGAGTCTCTTGGAGGCCTCTTGGGCGCCGCTTGGGGCCTCCTGGGCGCCTCTTGGGGCCCTCTTGAGGTGCTCTGAGGAGCCTTGGGAGCACTCTTGGGGCCATCTTGGAGGACATCGATCAAACAAGAGGGGAGCTTTAATTAGCGTTGCCCCTCGGGAGACCCAAAAGTCGCCTCTTGGGGCGCTCTTGGGGCACTCTTGGAACGCTCTTGGGCGCTCTTGGGGCCGTCTTGAGGCCTCGGATGGCCATCGGAAGCGGCGAGAAAACATAAAACACCAAGTTCCCCAAGGTGTTGGAGAGATGTTATCATATTCGGGGGCTCTTGGGGGAGCTCTTTGGCCACATGGAGAGGTCTTGGGCCTCTTGGAGCATCTTGGGGGCCATCTTGAGGCGTCTTGGGATATCTTGAGCCATCCTGGAGGTCATCTTGGGCTCTCCCAGGAGCTCTTGCAGCCAGCTTAATGAGTCCTTCACCTCCCCAGGAGGCCAATATGTGGTCAACACCGCAGAAAATTCAATGATTTTGGCATTCTCGCTGAGGCCTCTTGGGGCGTCTTGGGTGCCTCTTGGGCCCTCTTGGGGGTCTCGTGGGAGCCTCTTGGGGGCATCCTGGGGGTCTCTTGGGGCCTCCTGGACACCTCTTGGGGCGCTCTTGGAGCGCCCTTGGGAACCTTGGGATCACTTTTTGGCAATCTTGGAGGACACCGATCAAACAAGAGGGGAGCTTTAATTAGGGTCGCCCCCCCAAGAGGCCAACATGGGGCCAAAACCCCAGTAAGACTAATGGTTTTGGCTTCCTCGCCGAGGCCGTTTTAGACGCTCCGACACCTCGCGACCAGCCCCGTCCACGTCCAGGGGAGGGGGCAGGGCAAGCCAGGTGCGCTCGCGTCATATCTGACGTCCTATACGAAGAATGCTTGTATATACTTCCACTTATCTTCCGTGTATTGCTTGGGGCAAATCAATTCTATAGTCGATCCCCGATTCGAATTCCCTCACTCCTTTCTTCGCCCACCTCCCCCCTCCTCTTGACCCGCAGGGGGTTGCTTTCCTGGAAAAGGGTTGATGCCCCAGGAGAACGACTGGTTCACCGTGTAGGCTTTTGGATCCGAGTGGGTTTCTGACGGTTCTCGCAGGAGGGTTAGTTCTCTAGGTGAGACCCGATCAAGGATCTTCAGAATTCCGTTGATCTTCAGTTTCGCAAGCCTAGATTACTATTCCTTTAAGACGTGGCCCAGGATTTCGCACCACTCCAGCCTCGGCTACCCAGAGAACCACCTCTCCGTTGTAATCTTTGTAGATGTGACACACCAGCCGTTGTAATAGTCCCAGCAAGAGTAGCAGTCGTAGAAGAAGCGCTACTAGCAGTAGTATTGATCGTCTGAGTCGTAGTAGTAGTAATAGTAGTAGTAGTAGTAGTAGTAGCACTCGTAGTAGTAGTAGTAGTAGTAGTAGTAGTAGCAGCAGCAGTAGCATTAGGAGGAGAAGAAGTAGTAGTAGTAGCAGTAGCAGTAGTAGTAGTAGTAGTTCCAGTAGTAGCAGTACTGGTCGTCGTAGTCGTAGTAGTACCAGTAGCAGCAGTAGTAGTAGTAGCAGTAGTAGTAGTAGTAGTAGTAGTGATAGTAGTAGTACCAGAAGTAGTAGTACTGATCGTAAGGGTCGTAGTAGCAGTAGTGGATAGTAGTAGCAGTAGTAGTAGTAGTAGTAATACTACGAGTCGTATCAGTAGTCTCATTGGTAGTAGTACTGATAGTAGTAGTTGCAGCAGTAGTAGTAGTAGTAGTAGTAGCAGTAGTAGTAGTAGTAGTAGTAGTAGTAGTAGTAGTGATAGTAGTGCTAGTAGGAGTAGTAGTAATAGCAGTGGTAGTATTATTATTCTTAGTAGTAGTAGTAGTAGTAGTAGTAGTAGTAATAGTAGAAGTAGTAGTAGTAGTAGTAGTAGTAGTAGTAGTAGTAGTGGTGGTGGTGGTGTTGGTAGTAGTAGTAGTAGTAGTAGTAGTAGTAGTATTACTAGTCGTGGTGGTGGTGGTGGCGGTAGAAGTAGTAGTGGCCGTCGTCATAGTACTAGTTGTAGTAGTAGCGGTCGTAGTAGTAGTAGTAGTAGTAGTAGTAGTAGTAGTAGTAGTATTCGTAATGCTAGTAGTAGTAGTAGTCGTAGTAGTAGTAGTAGTAGTAGTAGTAGTAGTAGTAGTATCAGTAGTAGTAGTAGTAGTAGTACAAGGTATAGTAGGAGTAGTAATGGTGGTGGTAGTCGCAGTCGCAGTTGCAGCCGTAGTGGTGGTAGGATTAGATAAGATGATCGGCATCGTGGTGTTAGTTTTTGTAGTTTTAGTAGTAGTCGTAGTCGTAGTCGTAGTCGTAGTAGTAGTAGTAGTAGTAGTAGTAGTAGTAGTAGTAGTAGTAGCCATCATAGTAGCAGTCGTAGTGGCAGTAGACGTAGTAGTAGTAATAGTAGTAGTAGTAGTAGTAGTAGTCGAAGCAGTAGTAGCAGTAGTAGTAGTAGTAGTCGTAGTAGTAGCAGTCGTAGTAGTAGTAGTAGTAGTAGTAGCAGTAGTAGTGGTAGTAGTAGTAGTAGTGGCAGCGAGGATAGCAGTAGTAGCAGTAGTCGTAACAGTGGTGGTTTTGGTCTTGCTAGTATTCGCGCGAGAAGCACTGTGTACAGTAGTAGCAGTAGCCGTAGTAGTAATATGACGGGTAGTTGTGGCAGGCGTGGGGGTATGAGTAGAAGTATGTGAAGTCGTCGTAGTAGTAGAGTAGCGGTGGTGGTGGGAAAACGAGTAATACTTGTTGGAACAACGAACAGAAGTAGCCGTAGACGTAGTTTTGGCACCAGTCGAAACAGTAATCGAAGTAGTGGTGGCCTTGGTCGTGGTAGAGGTGCTCGTGGTAATTGCGGTAGCAGTTATAGTCATGGCACGGCACACCCGCGAAACAAATGCGTCGCATACACAAAAAGCATATGGTACAAATGCGAAACATACTGGGCGCGTGCACAAAACTATACACACCATGTGTGAACATGTACAAGGCGTGTATCGACTTGTCTGCACAACACATACGCAACTTCTACGGCACGGATGTGCAACAGGCGCAGAACATTTATGATACGCATACAAACCTGTACGGAAACATAGACACCATGAACCAACCATATACGCCACGTGTTCACAACACGCACGGCAAGTATACGACGTGCATATACCAATCATGCGACACGTAAACAAAACGCGTAACCAAAACGCCCACACCACGTTCGCGAAACGTCGGATACGCACAGAACACGGAAGAGGAACGACACCCATGCGAAACGTATGAGCGTGCGTACACGCAACGTATGCACAACGTAGATGTTCTCGTCGGCGCCGTCGTCGCGGTAGTCGTAAACGTAGTCGTAGTAGTAGTAGTAGTCGTAGTCGTAGTCGTAGTAGTAGTAGCAGTAGTCGTCATAGTAGTCGCAGTAGCCGTAGTAATTTCACGGTTGGTAAACGTAATAGTGGGTGAAGAAGAAGTAGGTGCAGAAGCGGTAGTAGTAGTAGTGGTAGTAGTAGTAGTAGTAGTAGTAGTAGTAGTAGTAGTCGTATCAACAGCACGAGTAGTGGTAGTAGTAATAATAATATTGGCAGTCGAAGTAGCCGTCATAGCGATAGCACTTGCAGCGGTGGCAGTAATCGTGGTAGTAGTAGCAGTAGTAGTAGCAGTGGTAGTGGTAGTAGTAGTAGTAGTAGTAGTAGTATTCGTGGGAGTAGTAGCAGTAGGAGGAGTAGTACTAACAGTCGTGGTAGCAATCGTGCTGGCACGAGTAACGATCATTGTAGTGGTGGTAGCGTTAGTAGCAACAACAGCGGCAGCAGCAGCAGGAATAGTAGCAGTAGCTGAAGTATTGGTAGTAGTAGTAGTAATAGTAGTAGTAGTAGTAGTAGTAGTAGTAGTAGTAGTAGTAGTGGTGGTAGTAGTAGTAGGGGTAGTAGTAAGTAGTAAGTAGTAAGTCGTAGTAGTAGTAGTAGTCATAGTAGTAGTAGTAGTAGTAGTAGTAGTAGTAGTAGTAGTAGTAGTAGTAGTAGTAGTATCCGTAGTAGTCGTAGTAGTAGTGGTTGTCATAGCCCTCGTCGTAGTAGTAGTAGTAGTAGTAGTAGTCGTCGTCGTAATAGCTGTGGCCGTAGTAGTAGTAGTAGTAGTAGTAGTAGTTGTTGTAGTAGTAGTAGTAGTAGCAGTAGTGGTCGTAGTAGACGTAGTAGCAGCAGTAGTAGTAGTAGTTGTAGTAGCAGTAGTAGGAGTAGTAGTAGTAGTAGTAGTAGTAGTAGTAGTAGTCGTAGTAGTAGTAGTAGTATTAGATAGTAACCGCCAGAGTAGTAGTAGTAGTAGTAGTAGTAGTAGTCGTAGTCGTAGTCGTAGTCGTAGTCGTAGTAGTAGTAGTAGTAGTAGTAGTAGGAGTAGTAGTGGTACTAATAGCAGTCGTAGTCGTAGTAGTAGTAGGAGTCGTAGTAGTAGTAGTAGTAGTAGTAGTAGTCGTAGTAGTGGTAGTAGTAGTAGTAGTAGTAGTAGCAGTGGTCGCCGTAGTAGTCGTAGTAGTAGCGGTAGTAATTGTAGTAGTAGTAGTAGTAGTAGTAGTAGTTGTTGTATTTGTAGTAGTAGTAGTAGTAGTAGTAGTAGTAGTAGTGGTGGTAGTAATCGTAGTCGTGTTTGGTTATTGGGGGTTGGTGTTTGGGGTTTCGTGTTTTCGGGTTTGGAGTTTTCGCGTTGGTGTTTGGGGGTTGGTGTTTGACGTTTTTTCCCCACATGCTTCGTGGGGTTCTGGTTTTCTTCCCTGCCGCGCTGCACCCGCGACACTCTCACACACACACACACACACCTCACTCTTCGTACAGCACAGCACAGCACAGCACATCACAGCACAGCACAGCACAGCTCAGCTCAGCACAGCACGCAGGTCAGCTCAGCTCAGCACACAGCACAGCGCAGCACAGCTCAGCTCAGCTCAGCACAGCTCGGCTCAGCTCAGCACAGCTCAGCACAGCCCAGCACGGCTCAGCACAGCACAGCTCGGCTCAGCTCAGCTTGACACGCTCGCAGAGCGTGCCAAGCTGAGCTGAGCCGAGCTGTGGCAGGCACTGCATTTTCACGGTACCACTGGGGGCCCAGGGCGTTGCAGGCGTGGCACTTCCTCGACACCACAGGGGGGGAGCTGTGGGTGGGGACGCTATCCGTTCCGGGCTCGCAAAGCGTGGCAGGCGTGGCACTTCCTCGACACCACAGGGGGGGAGCTGTGGGTGGGGACGCTATCCGTTTCGGGCTCGCAAAGCGTGGCAGGCGTGGCACTTCCTCGACACCACAGGGGGGGAGCTGTGGGTGGGGACGCTATCCGTTTCGGGCTCGCAAAGCGTGGCAGGCGTGGCACTTCCTCGACACCACAGGGGGGGAGCTGTGGGTGGGGACGCTATCCGTTTCGGGCTCGCAAAGCGTGGCAGGCGTGGCACTTCCTCGACACCACAGGGGGGGAGCTGTGGGTGGGGACGCTATCCGTTTCGGGCTCGCAAAGCGTGGCAGGCGTGGCACTTCCTCGACACCACAGGGGGGGAGCTGTGGGTGGGGACGCTATCCGTTTCGGGCTCGCAAAGCGTGGCACGCGTGGCACTCCTCGACACCACAGGGGGGAGCTGTGGGTGGGGACGCTATCCGTTTCGGGCTCGCAAAGCGTGGCAGGCGGCTCGACACCACGCTGTGGGTGGGACGCTATCCGTTTCGGGCTCGCAAAGCGTGGCAGGCGTGGCACTTCCTCGACACCACAGGGGGGGAGCTGTGGGTGGGGACGCTATCCGTTTCGGGCTCGCAAAGCGTGGCAGGCGTGGCACTTCCTCGACACCACAGGGGGGGAGCTGTGGGTGGGGACGCTATCCGTTTCGGGCTCGCAAAGCGTGGCAGGCGTGGCACTTCCTCGACACCACAGGGGGGGAGCTGTGGGTGGGGACGCTATCCGTTTCGGGCTCGCAAAGCGTGGCAGGCGTGGCACTTCCTCGACACCACAGGGGGGGAGCTGTGGGTGGGGACGCTATCCGTTTCGGGCTCGCAAAGCGTGGCAGGCGTGGCACTTCCTCGACACCACAGGGGGGGAGCTGTGGGTGGGGACGCTATCCGTTTCGGGCTCGCAAAGCGTGGCAGGCGTGGCACTTCCTCGACACCACAGGGGGGGAGCTGTGGGTGGGGACGCTATCCGTTTCGGGCTCGCAACGCGAGGAAGGCGTGGCACTTCCTCGACACCACAGGGGGGGAGCTGTGGGTGGGGACGCTATCCGTTTCGGGCTCGCAAAGCGTGGCAGGCGTGGCACTTCCTCGACAACACAGGGGGGAGGAGCTGTGGGTGGGGACGCTATCCGTTTCGTGCTCGCAAAGCGTGGCAGGCGTGGCACTTCCTCGACACCACAGGGGGGGGAGCTGTGGGTGGGGACGCTATCCGTCGCGGGCTCGCAAAGCGTGGCAGGCGTGGCACTTCTTCGACACCGCTGGGGGGGAGCTGTGGGTGGGGACGCTATCCGTTTCGGGCCCGCAAAGCGTGGCAGGCGTGGCACTTCCTCGACACCACAGGGGGCGCGTTGGGGGTGGTCTCCCTATCCGTTGCGGGCTCGCACAGCGTGGCAGGCGTGGCATTTCCTCGGCAACGCAGGGATTGCGCTGGTGGTGGTCTCCCTATCCGTGGCGGGCTCGCAACGCGTGGCAGGCGTGGCATCTCCTCGACACCACAGGGGGTGCGCTGGGGATGGTCTCCTTATCCGCTGCGAGCTCGCAAAGCGGGGAAGGCGTGGCACTTCCCCGGCACCACAGGGGACGCGCTGGGGTTGGTCTCCCTATCCTTGACGGGCTCGCAAAGCGTGGCAGGCGTTGCATTTCATCGACACCACAAGGGGGTGCGCTGGGGGTGGTATCTTTATCCGTTGCGGGCCCGCAAAGCGTGGCAGGCGTGGCACTTCCTCGACACCACAAGGGGGGGGGGGGGGCGTTGGGGGTGGTTTCCCTATCCGCTGCGGGCTCGCAAAGCGTGGCAGGCGTGGTACTTCCTCGACACCACAGGGAGTGCGCTGGGGGTGGTATCCGTGCCCGTTGCGGGCTCGCAAAGCGTGGCAGGCGTGGCACTTCCTCGACACGACAGGGGGTGCGCTGGGGTGGTCTCCCTATCCGTTGCGGGCTCGCAAAGCGTGGCAAGCGATATGGCGTTGGATGGCACATAGGGAAACATTCGCGACGAGGGCTCAGAACGCAGGATTGCGCATATATTAAAACCTAAGCAAGCACATCAGATTTTAATTAAGTATGTGGGGTTCTTCGGTGGCGTAATTTGTTTGGGGTTTGGTTTGGGGGGCGTAGTGTTTGGTGTTTGGGGTTTGGTGTGTCGGGTTTGTTGTGTGGGGTGTTGTGTTTTGGGTTTGGTGTTTGATGCTTGGTGTTTGGTGCTTGGCGTTTAAGGGCTAGTGTAGTTGAATTGGTGTTGGGGTGTGGTGTTTGGGTCTGGTGTTTAGGGCGTGGTGGTTGGAGTTTGGGGTTTAGTGTTCGGTTTGTTCACGGTATTTGGGATTTGGTGTTTGGGGTGTTTGGGGCGTGGTGTTTGGGATTTGGTTTTTGGGGTTTAGTGTTTGGTGTTTGGTGCTTTGCGGTTTGGTGTTTGGGGCTTGGTGTTTGGAATTGGGGTTTGGTGCTTTTGGTTTGGATTTTGGCATTTTGGTGTTGAGGGTTTGGTGTTTGGGGTTTGGGGTCTACGGTTTGGTGTTTGTGGTTTGGTGTTAGTGGAATTGGTGTTGTGGTGTGGTGTGTGGGTTTGGTGTTTGGGGCGTGGTGGTGGGAGTTTCGGGATTAGTTTTCGGGTGTTGTTTCTTGGTGTTTGGGATTTGGTGTTTGGGTTTGGTGCCTGGGGCGTGGAGTTGGTGGTTGTGGTTTGGTGTTTGGGGTTTGGTGTTTGGCGTTTGGGGTTGGGTGTTTGGGGTTTGGGATTTGGTGTTTGGGAATTGGGGTTTGGGAATTGGGGTTTGGGAATTGGGGTTGGGGTTTGGTGCGTGGTGTTTGGGGTGTGGTGCGTGGTGTTTGGGTGTTGGCGTTCTTTTTTGTGTTTTGGGGGGGTAGAAAACCTGCAATGGTCTCATCAGGAGAACCAACTCGGCATGATGTCACGTTCACCCGGAGAACCAACCGATCTCCCCGGGAACCAACAGTTTTCCCGGAGAGCCATTTTTTGCCTTCCTGCTCCTCCTCCGCTGCGAGCG